ACGCCAATAAATCTGAGCTGTTCAATTGAAATTAGGACTGATCTAGGATGATTAAAATTTGCAGAATCATCCGGACTTTGAAGCACTCAAAGCGCGCTATTACCGTAATCTCTTCGACACTGGCCAGGAAGGAAAAGCTGCGGAGGTCTAATTTTACTTCTTGTCACCAGTTATTTTTGGCTCAACAGTGCCAAATTTGTCCGTGAACTGTATTGCAGATATCGGAACGTGATGGTGATTTGCTAACAGCTGTTGATCTGTACTTGAAAGCAAACCTGAGCGCTCAGGCAGCACTTCTTCTTCTTTCCAATCCGAAGCTTCTTTCCAAAAACGACTTAGTGCAGAAAGTTGCCGCTGCAACTACACGCTCGGGACTGTTTGAAAAGGTTTCACTTCTTGTTCTTTTCTCACCGAAGAAGTAATAACCAAGTCTTTAGCACGGTTCCGAATCAAACTCCAATTCAACAGACAAAGCTTTTTTAGCGAGTGGTTATCGTATGAAGGAACCTATCAGGAAGTCTCTGCATCTGGAACAAAATTCAAAGAAAATTTGGTTTCTGAGGACCTAAATTTAACACATCATTATTAGAGCACCACATTTTGCACATTTTTGCTTTAATTTGTTTGCTTTTTATAAGGATAGATATGACTTGAAATTCTGTATTAAATTTTCGATCTTTGGACATAATTCCGCCACTATTTGGATGTTTTCAACATCTGTTATACCAAAAGTCTTCGCTAGTTCTTGCTTTTTGCCTCCATTTTCTACACTACCTCTTTTATTTCTCTCTTAACAAGTCACTCGCGAACTACAGGCCTCTACGTTTTTCTTCCTCTTCCTCTTTTTTTGCTTATTTAACAGTACATTGAAAAGAAGCAGCATTTAGGCAGGGGAACTGTTCGAAGCAACGAATGATTTCGAACGAGCTTTGGAAAGTTACCGCAAGGGAAGTGGCTATGCAAAAGCAATTCAGGTAATTTGAGTTTCTCATTACCACTCACTGCTCCTTCCCTCTCTCGCCCTTCCCTCCTCCTCCCCTGCCCCTCTCACTTCCCTTCTTCCCTCCCGTCCGCTTTCGTTTAAAATCTTTTGTTATTGATTATTTATACCAGGAGAAAATTTTCCCAGCAGTATTGACTCTTAAATACACCATAAATTTATTACATGTTTTTTGCATTTTGTTAATATTGAACTATAAAATCGCACTCTCTCAAAATTTAACTGAAATATTGCTTTTGTTATTTTGAAACTCCAAAGACATCATTGCTGCTGCGTTGCTGAACTTACG